AATCATTTTGAAATGGACGTTTCTGATATTTTTGGGTCGCACTGCTCCTTGAGCTAGACTTGTCGTGACAATAACGTGAAACGTCAAATATCATGGCAAACATTCGCCGGAAATTAGGAACATCAGGAATATTAATTGAGAGCGATAAATTGCTGCCATGTTTGAAAAAAATCATTCAGTCATTTTCAGGGTCAAAAAAGCTACTTTAGATGGGACTAAACTGCTTAACTCTTGCACCCTAATGAGTGTTCTACGGCTTCAATACTAGGAATTTCAAAGGCCTGACTCTATTTTTATCTCATAAAAAACGACTCACAAAGTTTTACTGACGTTTTGCAATTTCAGTGCTGTTTTTGCGCAATTTCCCTCCAACAAAGGCTTTTTACTGCGCGTTTAGTGCAAGGACTTGTACAAAATTTCAGTGGGAAGTAATGATTTTAAGTACTCAATAATATTCTTGCCACCAGTATCCATTTCCTTGAGGAACGCAGAGGCCAATACCGAGCGGGCAAGACTGATCCTCTCCGTTCAGCGAATCACACCGCAGGATTTGGTTCATCATGCCCGGGCTTACGTAAGGTCCGTAGGGTGGGCAAACTGTGAAAACCTTGTGCTGGCTTACGTGTTTATCAACGATCAAACAGTCCGGCCGCGTTTCACGTGCAATGATAAGTGAATTAATTATCGCTTCATGCTTGAAGGAGTAACAAAGAAACTGACATATTAATGTGGAAGGGATTTAAGCCCAACATGCATTGACCTGTGGTTTCAGTGAACAAGATAATTAAAAATGTGTTCCATTGTCAGCAGCGCACGTGGCAGCTTCGTCAGTTAAGGTATGCAAATACACCTAATTTTCGTGTGCTTCATCGTTTTCACTTCCTGGAGACGGCTTTTTCTTTTGTACATAGTTAGCAGCGAAGAACACGCTATTAAATTATTAACACACATAAACATCGAAACAGACGTATATTGGTCCAATACTCACCAGGCACCTAACATGTAAATTTTGTGGTTTTGTGTTTTCATTCGTTTGAAACAATGAGCACTTGATCCGAAATTTTCAGGAATCTCGTCATAATATTGTCATTCCTTGTCGATTCCTTGCAGAAAACCTCAAACTCGGATAATGAAATGGAAAAAACGTTTCCACCAAACTGGTCCAAAAATATGTCACCAACCGAAAGCGAAGTCAATTTTCCGATGGATTACACTGTCACAGAAACTGCTATTGCCGCCGCTACCTTGCTGATAATAATGATTACATGTTTAGCGGGAAATGCCGTTATTTGCTACGTAGTTCTTCGCAACAGACGAATGTGGACAGAAATGAACATGTTCTTGGTGAATCTTGCCATTGGTGATATTGCTATGGCTTTACTGTCGATGACGACTCCGCTAAAGACAGCCATCACCAGGCAGTGGACATATCCCCCAGCCGGGTACGTCTGTCAACTGAACGCTTTCTGTAGTTCCGTTTTGATCTGCAATACAATATTTACTCACACTGCTATCTCAGTAGACAGGTTTTTCGCCGTGGTAAAACCGATGAAGAAAATTATGACAAGAAAAAAGGCCTTCTCTTCCATTTTGGGTATATGGTTACTTTCAGTTGCCGTTTCTCTTGGGCCTATATTAGGCTGGGGTCGCAACGATTACAACGCTTCAACACTACAGTGCGGTTTTGGATTCCCTGAGAACAGAATCGAAGTGTTGTATATGATATTCCTCGCGGTTATCGCATTTCTCCTACCCATCATCATAATGAGTTACACATATATAAGAATTTATCTAGTCGTGCGCCATCATACAAGAAGAATGTCATCTTCAACATTCGGTAATAATCCTAAAGACTTCGCAAAAAAGCAGCAAAGGATTGTCTTAACGTTTTTCCTCGCCTTGATAGCATTTATTATCTGCTGGATGCCGTTTTTTGTGTTTATCGCGATTGCTGCGTCAATTTCCTCGCGGGACGAATTACCGCATGGCTTAGGATTAGCGGCTTACTGGTGTGGCTTCCTAAACTGCTCCATAAATCCTTACTTGATTGGTCTAAGAAGTGAGCGATTTCACGAAACATTCGCACATGTTTTTTGTTGTCGTTTTTGCTACTGCAAACGGGCTACTGGACGAAGAACTGAGGGAAGATATTCTTCCGACAAAACACTTTGCGCTGAAACAAAGAATCGTACGCTAATACACCAGACCAGTACACCTTCGCAGCAGAGTACTGGTCATGTACAATCATTCCTGAACCCTATAGCTATCATAAACACAAGTCAAGAAACTATCGTCATTCCTTCTCGCGACAAATGGAATGATAACACGAAGCCAAGAAGATCATGGAGACAAGAAAACATGGTAGGAGTTGTTTACCCGAATTTTATTCACATGGTTGACGGAAAGTTGTGGAGTGAAGCCACAGTTTAAATAAATGGGCCGGTATCAACATGAAGTCCATGTAGCTTTTGCAAGGCATAAAATGTCGTTCAAGTCATGGAAACCTCAAATAATTCGCCAGAGTCGAAACGAGAAAAAAAGTAATTGAGAAGAAACAAAGATGTTAACGAATGAGGCAGACTGAGACATGTAGGTACTGTAACTGACAAACTAACTTGAAACATTTAGGGTATCATTCAAGATGTGTCATCCCTGAGAGAGCTTCTTGAACCTTCCCATTGGCGCTTGTCAATTTTGACGATAACTGTCATGTTTGTGAGTTATTAGCGGATTTCTTGTAATTCGCTCCCACGGTCATTGTTTGTTTTGTTTTGTTCTTGGGTGGTTTGTATGCATCATATCGTTCAGTCAACTATCCTAGTTAAACTCTGGTGTTCCTAACATAAGTGCAAAATTCCAGATTGGTCGTTAATAACAGTAGATTTTCATGCAAAATATGAACTGCGGGTGTAATGAAACTGGTCCAAATCGTCACGAATATGATAAAATATTCGCCGTGTTAGCGTGTTGTTTCAGTTGGCTGCCCTTGTGTGTTCCAAATACACACGTATTGTATAGGTTTGTGGCACATAATTATCATAGCGTTTGGTGCATGGCTGCGTTCGTGCGTCATAAGCCCTTGACAAGCCATCGTCAGGCATCACGTTAAATGGTTGTGATCATATTGTTCCATGTGATCAAATTTCTTAACTACGATTAGTTTTTTAAACGCTATAGGGTGATTCAAGTGGTGGAAGCGATCAACTACTTTTCAGAACAAACTACTCGCCCCAAATGCATTACTGATTCCTTCTTAGACTTCATTTCATCCACTCCCAAGACAAACAAGTGTGATGCAAGTGTAAAAAAAAGTAAACAGAAATATACATAAGATTCCGGTATTTGCAGTCTCAACTGGATACGAGATATCTATATGGTTGCGTTTTTTGGGGGTGATCTGGATCACGATCGTAGTCCAAGATCATTCGGATCATGGTGCATCAAAGGAACCGATGAGTCTACTCTGGTCAAGGATTCATCTGCTCCTTTTAAGCACCATGATCTGAGTGGTATTGGATCACTAATCACTGATCCAGATCACCCAAAAGGAAAACACACTCATATGTAGAGCACAATTCGCGATATTCACAATTTTGATTTCCTTGATTTATACCATTCACGTATTCTCGGAAATGCGCATTAAGTGGGAAATTACGTAGCTGACGGTTAGGACGGCACAGGTCGATGAGGTCCATGCATCATAACAGAGAGCCAAACAATGATTCCTGTTACCTCCTACTCAGCCAACAAGAAACTGAAAATTTTAATTCCTCTTCTAAGTTTGATTTAGTTAAAAGTTCTGAAAATGTTGAGTTTTAAACCCGTGTCGCACGAACAGCGTTCAATACATTCGGCTCAAATTCTTCTGGACAGTTAATCGTGCTTTTTTCAATCAGTATTCAGAGCTGTTTTGGGGGGTTGACCAGACACTGAATCGTGCATGCTAATCAAATGTTATTATGTCACTGGAGTTACGATCAAAGAATTAACGGTATGATCTTTGATTTCTAACATGCATATACTCTGTGGTGTTTTCTTGACAAAGCAAGCGAGGACTGTGTGAAGATAAGTAATGTTGAAGGAAACACCTTTTTTGCTATTAAGGAAATACCTTTTTTTGCTATCAAGTAACCACCTAAAAAAGAGACTACGATCTATGGTCTATGATCTATCATCATAGTTTCTTGGTGTGAATAAATAGTTTTGAAGTAAAGTTCCGAAAATAACCATAATTACTCAGCTTCAGATTCTATCAGAAGGTAAGGGGACGGGAAGCAAACACGTGTAGTCAAACCCATTTGCCAGGATTCTACCATAAGCGTAGAACTCTTCATCCCAGGCACATAAAATTTGGGTGTAGAAGAACTTGTTTTCTTTGTAGAAAAAGATATTTTTGATAACTCGAAGGCGAGAGGTGTTGACATGAACTAACATTAAGAAATAAGAATCGGTTTACTGTCCTTCGTATCTGTTATTTCCCACCTTTGCCTTTTAAAATTTCGAATTACATTTGAGGGTCGTGAATTTCGGGCTTTCTCTATTGGTGGAGAGCGGGTTGTTACTTTCGGAACTTATTTAACCAGCGAGATTACTTTGAGCTGACAGTGTTCATTTCTACTGCATCAAGTGTTCGTTCGTGCTCCTCGTCGTTATAAGGCAGGAAAGGCAAATACTTGGCCACTTTGTAGTTACTGATGCGGTTGAGACCAAACGGCAAATCATAGACTTTAATAGAAGCTGTTTGAAACTGTTCATCACTGTGATCTGATAAATGTTGCCTCCAAGCCTTGAGCCCGCGTTCCTCAATGGTACCAGGAATGGTGTTGTCCAGAATCAATGCAACGATACAACCCACTGCCATGCTTGTT